GGCAGCCTGACATCCTCTTGTTCCTTGTCTACTCCTCCAGCTCATCTCTCAGGATGAGGCTGATCGGCGAGGGAAGGTCTATGATAAATATATGTCCAGCTTCCTCTTCAACCTCAACAATGGTATGGCATGGCCTCCCTTTTATACCAAAGTGATCATGTGCAAGCCTTTACACCAAGCAGCCTCTGCTGTATTCCAGGTTCAGGTCAGACTGAGTCTGGCCAACAGATACTTCAAGCTGTGGTTGAACTTGGAAGGCCCATAGGCTCTGGTTCATTTCTGAGTTGTATTTGGAATGGGAACACAGGGCACTTCCACTTGAGAAGTTACCCTACCCAGTAGGTGGGAGAGAGGAGGCAGGCCATGTGCTTTTCCCATCTCCTGTTGCTATTCTGGGCTTCACATTCCCATTGGACTAAATTGTTTCTGTTGCCACTTAACTGACTTTAAACTAGAGCTGAAGAGGTGTGGAATTGAAGCCGGGCACATGGGTCACACCTGTAATCCCAGCACTTTAGAGGCCGGGACAAAAGAAATACCACAAATTTGAGGCCAGCCTGAGCTGCAGGTGACAAGCAAAAGCGGGTATAACGGCACGTACCTGTAATCACAGCACCAGGGAGGCTAAGGTCTAGGCCACCCTGGGCCACAGAACTAGAACTTGAACTTGACTGTCCGTCCCCCCAGAAAAACAGAAGTGTAGCGTTTCCTGGGACACTCATGATGTTCTTTGATTTATGTCATGTAGATTTTGTAGTGGATGCTACCCGGAAAGGAAACAAAATTCGCTTTGCAAACCATTCAGTGAACCCCAACTGTTATGCCAAAGGTGAGTGTGTCTTCTGTAGCCTAGGAAGTGGGGTGGGCTAAATACCTCATGCACTATAATTTTTATCCATCATTCAACTCCTTGATTTTTGTTTTTTATTGTTGTTTGTTTGGTTGAGATAGTATTTCTCTGTGTAGCCCTGGCTGTCCTAAAACTAGCTTTGTCGACCATGCTGGCCTCAAACTCAGAGCTCTGCCTGCTCTCCCTTCTGAGTGCTGGGGTTAAAGGCGTGTGCCGCTGCCTCCTGGCTCATCATTTAAGTTTTTCCAAGGACGCTCATGATTGATAGCTGACATCATTTTAGGCCTTTCGTGGTTTGCACTTTTCACTGACTACATTTAAAATGCTTTCCCACAATCATGATTTAAACTTCACTATTCCCCCAAAGTCACTGACTACAATAGCGGATTCAAAAGCAGAGAGACAGGTGCTGTCATGATTACATTCTACTTCCATTTGATTCTACTGGGAATTTGGAGAGAATCAGCACAGAATCCTAAGCACAGGTTTGTAGTGCTCTGTCCTCTCCTCTCTGCAGTGGTCATGGTGAACGGAGATCACCGCATTGGGATCTTTGCCAAGAGAGCGATTCAGGCTGGTGAAGAGCTCTTCTTTGATTATAGGTGAGGTGGTTGGGAATGAGGCAGGAGTGGCTGTTAGGATTGCTTTGGGGCTTAGAGCTGCTCCAGTGGGTGGAAGAGAAGCTCTACTTGACAGTGTTTGCCTCAGAACCAGGAGCATTACAAATGGCTGCTAGGAATTGGGAGGAAGTAAAATAGGAGGGGACCCCATCTTATCAACCACAGAGTAACTAGTTCCTCCTCCTTGCTCTGGGATAGGTACAGCCAAGCTGATGCCCTCAAGTATGTGGGCATCGAGCGGGAGACCGACGTCTTCTAGCCCCTGGGCCCTCTGGCAGTGCTGTGGTAGCAGCACTGTCTTGACTTCAGGCACACACCACTGCTGCTCCAGCTCCTGCAATGTCTTCCATGCTGAGAACCCCACCCACTCCTGTAACTAGGCCTCCACTGTATTCCAAGGAGACACACTGCCTCAGTTCGAAGGGAAGCAGGCGGTGAAGACTTGGTCTCCCAGGAGAGTTCAGATGAGAGAAGCTGCCCCTCCAGATCAGAGGAGGCCATGGGCTGGGGTGGATATCGATGCTTGATTCTCCTCAGCTCCCAAACTGTGGGCCTCAGGAACCAACCAGCACTGCCATTTTAGCTTTCCCAGTCATGAGTGCTTGTGTCCCCAGCTCTCAGGCATTGCTAAATGAAGCCAGGTCCCTGGAGCCTGACAGACATTACAGACAGAACTCAGAGGGAAACGGGTCTCTGTGACATCAAAGCAGACATTGAAGACTGCAGGAGGGAAAGCTAAGTGCCACCCTCCTGTGTACAGAGGGAGAGCCAGTCAGAGCCCGGGCCCCAGAGGCTCAGAAAGGCCTGTCTCATAGACTGTGGGGTAGCAGGGCATTTTCAGACTCCTAGCAGCAGGCGGCAGTGACCCAGCTCCTTCCAAAGTTCTGGCTCGGTAGTAGCAGGCCTAGGCTGCTGAGCGTGGGCTGAGCCTGGCTGGGAGTAAGTACTCTGAGTCACTAAGCTGCACTTGTCCTCAGGCCCTTCCATTCCTCAAAGCTAGGTCCACGGAGCAGCTTTGCTTCTTTCTTCAGGGTAGCTGGGTCTAGTCTAGACTAGAGAGGAGAGGTCGCTGTGTGGTTTACTGTCTGTATACCTGCTGGTGTGGTGTTCGAAGGTGTGGGGGTGCTGCTGCACATTGAGCAGGGTGTCACAGTGCAGGCAGACTACCGTTCTCTCTGAGATCCATGCAGAACAAAGCACTTTAACTTTCTCTTAGAAGGTCTGTAGATTGGAATGGAGTTTGAGCCAAGGTCTCTGGGGTTCCTGCCCAAATCCCACCTCTGAAGGAGGAAGAGGAGAGTGGAAGATTCTCCAGTTCTGTCTCACCTGAGAGAGGCAGGAGGAGCTGATTGACACAAGAACCGAAACTGTAGTCAGCACAGCTGCCTTGGGTCTGGTGTGCTGAGAACAGGGGCATTGTTCTGGGTAGAAAGTACCCGGGCAGGTACAGATGCCTCAGGAGTAAGAACCAGAGCTTCTCCCATGGTTCTTGCTGACCACTCCCCTCCCCCCACCCCACAGTGTTTGTCCCACCAAAGAAGCCAGGCTCCCTTTGACCATACTGCCTCTTAGGGAATTGCATGGGACATGCATGCTTGTGCACATACACACTCCCTCACCACACTGGTAGGCACATGTACCTCACACTCAGCACACACCCAACAACTCCTGACAGTAGCCTCTCCCCACCCCGCAGTTGGGCCAGTCCACACCACAGTTCTGAAACTGGCATCTGCCGGTGGTTTGTGTCTGTTGTGTGTATCAGGGATGCCCTCGAGCCCAACTGAAGGCTCTGAATTACTCACTCTTTCTTTGGGGAAACCAGAGACAGGTGGACAAGGGCCTAACCATGAGGAATGTTTTAAAACATGTTGGTTCTAGACTGCCCTGAGCCTTCCCTCAGCGAGCATCACTGGCAGCCCCTTGCGAAGTCCAGGCCACTAATACTCCTGCTCCTCCAGCCGCCGTTCTTGGTCCCCGCTGTCCTGATTCTAACGACGGGTCCCCACCCTCCTCCCCACTTCTGCCCCACCTCACGTAAGATGACGGATCCAGAGAGGTGGTGCGGACTGATGGGGAGCTGGTGTACATGTGGCTTTATTGCCAGGGAAATTTCTTGCACTTTAAAGTCCTGTGGCTTGTGACCTCTTATCTAATAAAATAAAGTGTTAGATTCCACTTTGGCAAGTGTGTCCTGTGTTCTTGGGCTGGAAGGGTCAGAGGTGGTGGCATGGCAGCAGATGGGCAGAAACTTCAGCTCCCGACCCCCACTATCGTCTGAGGTATAGGGGACTGGGAGAGTGACCAGGGTGAAGCCACCTAGGCTTGGTTTTTGGTTTTTAGGGACAGGGTCTCTCTTTGTAGCCTTGGCTGTCCTAGAACTTGCTCTGTAGACCAGGCTGTCCTAGAACTCAGATCCACTTGCTCTGCCTTCTGAGTGCTGGAATTAAAGGCGTGCACCACCACCCAGTTTATATACCTAGGTTTTGAGAACTAGAAGTTTCTAAGCTTTCAGAGTAGTTTGCTTAAAAACACTCCATTTCTCATGATTAAAATATTTAGTGGGAAGCAATAAACAGAGCACACAGCTCCACTCCGTTTATCCTGTGACGTCAGCTACCACACACAGACTGGGCTCTGCCACTCTGCTTTATTGCACCTGCTCAGTTGAGGGCACCACAGGCTCTGCCCTCTTGTAGAGTGGAGGCCCAGCAAGCTGAGTGAGTGGCTGGCAGGACAAGTGAGACATCCAGCACACAAGGAGCTCACTATAGACTCGGCACAGCACAGGATAGCCCACTGAGTTCTTTTTTATATATAAACAAATAATTTAAAAATTAGAATAATATATAGTTTCTCTGGAGAGAGACTTTGCAACAAAAAAAATATATATATAAAGAATATGACCTGGGCAAACACAGCAGCATCTCTGAGCAGAGGGAAGCGGGTTCCTCATGCATTGGAGGGGGCCAGGCCTGTGACCAGGCACCAAGGTTATTGCATATTTTGGGAAGGGTCGGGAGAGCAGAGGACTGGCTAGGCAAGGTGTCTGCATTATTGTTTTCTACTTGCAGGGTTTTTATGGCTTTGGCTAAAGCACATGAAGCAGCAGAGGGTACTAAAGTGCTAGAGGAGGCCTCGCGGTCTCTGAAAACAAAGCGGGTGGGTTGGGTGAGGTAGGGACAATGAAGGCCTCCCTGCTCACCCTAGCTGAGAGGAAGCAGATGGAAGACAGCCGGTCAGCAGGGCAGGCAGGGAGGCCTGGGCGTATGTTAGTAGCCTCCCCTCCTCCCCGCATGCCCTGTGCAGTCCTGTAGCCCCCCACATCTGTTCCTGCTGATAATGTACACAGGAAGGGAGGTATCCTTCATCTCCCCTGCCCTGCGTTGTTAATCCCTACCAGCAGCTGGGACAGAGATGGCAGGAAAGGCCTGTGTCAGCCCTGTGGGACTTCTGCTGTGGGGCAGGCCAACAGCCAGGAGCCTGGGAGGGGGGGTGGTGAGCAGGGCATTGGTTTAGGCAGTGAGGCTCGGCCACTCCCTTTGGTCCCATCTGTAGCTCTGCCCACCAAACTTGGCAATAGGAAATCCTCCCAGTGAACAGAGCCTGCGAAGAAGAAGCCAAATGTCCCTGGCAGGGTAAGGGAGAGGAAGGAGCTGGGGCGACTCGGAGGAGTTGGACTTGGTCCCTAAAGCCCTCATGACTCATTCAGACCTGGACTCCTCCAAGATCTGGGGGAGGTTCTGGTCCCTGGGGCCTGGGCCAGAGGCTGGGGCTGGGGTCGGGGCTGGGACTGGGGTCGGGGTCGGAGCCTGGGTGGGAGCTGGAGTGGGGGCAGGGGCCTGGGCAGGGCCTGAAGGAGGTAGGGGAGTTTTGCTGCCAGGATGGTGGTCGTGGCTGGCCTTGGGCTCGTTGGTGTGGTAGGAACCCTTGTAGCGATGATTTTGCAGGTAGAAGAGCGCCAGCATTCCCACAAGCCCCAGCAGCAGGAAGGCCACTAAAACTAGATGGGGGGAAAAAAGAAGTCAGGGAAGGTCTTTGGGATACACACATTACATGCTCCACCAAAAGTACCATGTACAACTGTGCATCGTATATGACTATGTCAGGCCATCCCCATGTCTAGGTCTGAATTCTTATCCCCCTGTCTACTTGACTCTTTCCATATTTCTGACAGCTCCGATTTCTCATTTCAATAGATGACACTGCATCTTTTTCCTCCTCCTGTAACTATGTGTTGCATTTTAATATTTCATTTTAATAAAAAATTTATAGCTGCCTCAAATATTGTTTCCACCCTGTTAGATACAGAGTCGGCCTAGCCTGTCTCACCCCCTCTTCCTGCCACCTCACATCTAGCCCTTCACTTCCCAGCCCCGAGGACAGGAACCGGGAGGGAGGCCGACAGGGCGGTCCTGGGGAAGTCAGGTTAGTGGTCAGTGCTACTCACAGCCTAAGAGTATGGCCACCCATCCGTCATCGTGGTAGTATGGGAAATCTAAACAGGAGAAAGGGCTGGTTAGGATACACCGCCTCTGTGTTCAGAGCCATCTCCCATCACCGTCACCCCTCTTGTCCGTGTCTAGGGATTTACCTGGGGGCAGGTACCAGGGGTCAAGCTCGGGTGGCACCTCGGAGACAAGGCGTGGCATCGCTCCACAGTTAGACTCCGAGAGTTCTCCTTGAACCCGCATGGCCTCTGCTAGCTCAGCAGTCATGGGGCGGGGGGTTCGGAAGTGGGTCTTGAGGGGAGCCACGTTGTTGAACCGGACACCAGACAGGCAGCCTGAGAAACCTGGAGTGTTGTACCGCTGGATCTCGGGGTCAATGACTCCTGTCTCTGAGGGAGAGGCAGGCCCAGAAAGAGGTATTGGGGACACCCAGAAGCCCCCTTCATCTGTCTGTCTCCTCACTCTGTACCCAGGAGCCTCATCCGCACTCGCCCCAGCGGCACGGGAGCTGCTTACCCATCACTCGTCCTAGATACAAGGCCTTGGGTGAGTCCAACTGGCTGTCCACCAGCAGAGAGAACTTCTGTTCTGTCAGCGGGAAGTAGTCCACCTGGGAGAGGGGGAGGGAAGCCCTGGTGGACACAGTCAAGACCAGAAAGGACCAAGGGACCCTTGCTCACAATGAACAACCCCTAGGCCTAGAGTAGGGTCTGACATGTGCCTCAAACAGCCTGGCAGGAGCTGGGGAAATGGCTCAGAGGTTAAGAGCATTGCCTGCTCTTCCAAAGGTCCTGAGTTCAATTCCCAGCAACCACATGGTGGTTCACAACCATCTGTAATGAGGTCTGGTGCCTTCTTCTGGCCTGCAGGCATATACACAGACAGAATATTGTATACATAATAAATAAATATTAAAAAATACTTAAAAAAAAAACAGCCTGGCTTTAAGCCCTGACTTGGCAGTTTTCTAGTAGTTTGACTTTGATTCTTCTCCCATTTTATTTGGGACAAGGTCTCTATGTAGCCCTGGCTGTCCTGGACTCACTGTGTAAGCCAGGCTGACTTCAGACTCAGAGATCCATGCCTGCCTCTGCCTCCTGAGTGCTGGGATTAAGGGTGTGCGCTACTATGTCTGGCTACACATTTTACTTTTTTTTTTTTTAATGAGGTCTGGAGTTCAGACAACAACGTGGAACAGTCATTTCTCTCCTTTTACAGCACGGATCTCAGGATCAAACTCGGGCCTTTACACACGGAGCCATCTCACCAACACCACAACGCCCCCCACCTTGATACAGGGTGTCATGTAGCCCAGGCTGTCCTCAAACTTACCATGTAGCCAGGGGATGACCTGAAACTTCTGCTCCTTCTGCCTCAGCCTCCAACACTGAGATTACACACCAAGTCTGTGCAGTGCTGGGGATGGAGCCCGGGACTTCATACATGTTGGGCAAGCGCTCTACCAACTAAGCCACATCGCCAGCCCCCAGCGAGCTGACTTTGGGGAAAACACTTTACTTTCTCAGCCTGTTTAATGGTTCATAAGATGGAGCTCAGAATAACTGCCAACCACAGCTACTTCACAGAACTGATGTAGGGTCATGAGAGGTGATACGTGTAAAAATCCGCTGCATACTGAATCGTTTGACATTTGGCATTTGACATTTTCTTGGGTGTGTCATAGCCAAGATCATGAGGCTGTGACTTAGTGGGCCCATCCCCCTCCACCTGTACCTGGATAAAGAGGTTTCGGTAGACCCTGGTGATGTTGACACTATGGGGCTGTCCATCAGTGACTGGCCGAGTGGTCAGCTGATACACGTAGGGACTGGTACCCAACTGATATCGAAGCTGGAGGGTCCCTGTGGGGTGGGAGGAGGACTATGGGATCTTCTCTTGGCTCCCACAACCCCCATATTTCAAAGGACTAGGTCTTGGGTTAGTCACAAGCCACGGGGATTTGGAGGAAGAGTGCGCGGAGAACTTACCATCTTCTTTGATGAGCACAGCCATGTAGTCACGGACAAAGGAGCTGACATAAAGGAGGACGGCAGGGGCAGAGTGGGTGCTGAAGCTGAAGGAGACCTCCTCTCCAGTAACATTGTAGACGGGACCCCGATACCCCGGCACCGGCCGGCCAGGCCTCGGATAGTCAGGCAGGCGGTACCCAGGGCCGTGGTAGCCAGGCACATAACCAGGAGTGTCGTAGCCCGGAATATAGCCAGGCTCATAGCCTGGCACGGGTCGGCTCAGCATGTGGGAGAACTCCCGGGCCGCAGAGCGCAGTGCCGACTGAAGGTTATAGCGCATCCATGTGCCAGTCTCAAAAAATCCACCAATATCTGAAGCAAAGACAGCAAGGTGAAGGCTCCAGACGTCTCAGTCACAAGTCCAAAGGGTTCTTAGGTTACCACACACACACACACACACACACACACACTTTTAGTGTCTGCCCCTGTTTACTTTTAGCAGGATATTTTCTCCTTTCGATTTTGGAGACATTGCCTTACTTTGTAGCCCAAATTTACAGTCCTTCTACCTCAGCCTGTCAAGCGCTGGGATTACAAACCTGCACCGCCCCACCCAGCACTAAGAGGAAGAAGAATGGGTTGAGAAATCTGAAGGCTCATCCGATCACCCCTGAATGTTACAGGGCAAGGACACTCAAGCCTAGAGATGGGTCCTCTGTGATGAAAAGCACCGGCTGCTCTTCCAGAGGACCTGGCGTTCAATTCTCAGCACCCACATGGAAGCTCACACTTGTCTGTTACCCCAGTTCCCTCATACATGCAGGCAAAACACCAATGCACATAAAATAAAAATAAATTAAAAAAAAAAAAAAACGATGGGTAGTGGCGTGCCCAAGGGCACATAGTTTAAGTGGAGGGCCAAGAGTGGAATTAAAATAACCTGACTCCATGCAATTAACGTTATTATTCATATTTCCCTGTATCTCTCTAGACCACCAGACTCTGCCCACCTTTCCCATGACCCATGACCTTGGGTCAGCCTTGGGGAAAATGTCGTCTGGGTATATTGAATTTCAAGGCTCACCTCAACCAAGAGTCAACTTGCAGACATGTTTTGGGAGTGCAGTGATAGGTCAGATGGGGAAATGGGAGGGGAAAGAAATGCATCAGGAAGCCAAAGTGAATACTAGAGCGAGGGAGGATGCTCATTTGGGGAAGTGCTCGCTCTGCAAGCTTGAGGACCCGAATTCGATCCCTCGCACCCACACAAAAATCTGGCTGTGGCGGCACACATTTGTAATCCCATTGCTGGAGAGGCAGAGGCAAGAGGGTCTCTGGGGCTCACTGTCCAGCTAGCTAGCTAGCCTATCTAATTGGTGAGTTCCAGGTCCCAGTGAGAGACCCTGTTTGAAAACACAAGGTAGATACACCTGAGAAACAACACCTGAGGTTGACCCCTGACCTGCACACACACATACACATGTATATATATCTATATATACACCAAGTAGATGTGCATGGGGTATGGTGGCAACCTGTGTGACCTTGGCGATAGTGGGAAGATGGGAAAGTTATTTATTTGCTTAATGTTGGGGCTCTTATCACATCAGCTAGCTCTACCATCCCTCCCTTTTTCTTTATGCCTTTAGAGTCACCAGCATCTTCAAATGCCTGACTGCCCCATTTAAGAGCTCAGAAGTCTACTAACAGAGAGTTAGAAATCTATCTTTCCAGATACGGACTCATATTCCCTTCTCATCCTTTCCCTCTGACCTCCCATCATGCCCTAAGGCTCCGTGCCCCCCAACACCCCCCTGCCCCCTATAACCAGCATCACTGACCATGATTGCAATATGGCCCATCAAAAGCCGTGAGGTCACAGTCACACGTGTAGTAGCTGTATCGCTCCACACAACGTCCCCCATGGAAACAGGGGAACCGGGGGTGGGTGCAGTGGCCTGTGCAGTTGGGGAAGGTGCCCTCAGAGGCATTGGCACGGCCCTCCAGGTTCAGAGTCACTCCGTTCAGACGCATGGCCCTCAAGCAACCCACAAAAGGGCGCCTCTTAAGCTCTGCAGATCCTGGTCAGGAATAAATGGAGAGGTTGGGGGGTGTGGCTCAAAGGTCGAGCATCCTAAGAGCTCCCCCAAACGACTGTAGAGCCAGAGATAGGATTAAATACTGAGTGGCAAGGGAGGCAAGGGGAGTAGGAGGACAGACTGGGATGTAAGGGGCTGGAGAAGAAAAATGGTCCCTTGGTTCACTCTGGGGCAGAGAGGACATTGGAACACGGGCTTCCTGGAAATGTGAGCATGACCAGGGAGTATAGGGATGTCATGGAGGCGCTCTCCCTGCCCCTGGATTGCTGCTCACCAACATAGAGGGGCTGGTCATACTCCAGCCAGATGTAGGTTTGCAGGGGCATGGGCCGTAGCACCCAGGGCCGATGGTCCACTCGTAGCCGGGCCTGCTTCACATTGATTTCAGCCCGGACCAAGTGCCATTCGTCGTCATTGAACTCGAAGTCATCTGAGTGCACTGTCAGGTTCTCATCCCCATTGCCAATATCAAAGGCAAAGACGACATCCCGGGATGCTGGACAGCGAGACAGTGGGTAAGCGTGAGAAAGGGCACTCTGACCCCCAAGATCCCTCATAGCATCCTTGCCCAAATACAATCTCTCTCCTCACCTAAGGGAAGCCCTCTAGATAGTCCTCCACTTCGTCTAAATCCTATGAATGGCTTAAAACTACACAATTTGTTCCCCAGATTTGCAGATGAGCTAGAATCAACTTCCCGGCTCGCATGCTCAGGCTAGAAGCATAGCTAGAGATGGCCGAGACCTCAAGAACCCAACTCCCTTCTTCACAAGGGGTCAAGGGCCCATGAAAACAAAGTATGTGCCAAAGGGGCGGTGGTCACATAGCCAGACATCAAGACAGTAAGTCTAGGGTCCGGAGTCATCCCAGATCCTGTCCCTGCCCCCTCTCCTAAGGGTTGAAGGTCTTGCCCCCCCCTCCGCCCCCCAACAGCCTCTTCAGTCATCTCCGTCTGCCCACATTCCCGCTAGTCCGCCTACTCACTGTTAAGTTCCACTCTCACGTAAGGTCGGCGCCACTGGCAGAAAGGGCCCCCCATGTTCTCTAGAAAGACTCCCGAGGGGGCTGAGGTCCTAAAGTAGAAGGAGACATCGAGGCTGTGGTTGGCACGGATCGGGGGGAAGCGCAGTGCAGCTCCGGTGTGGAAGGAGATAGTGTTCCAGGAATTGCCTGCAGAAAACAGAAGGCCTTGTGAGGGAATTGCCTGTGGGGGAGGCCTAAAGGGCGAAGCGGGGAGAGTTAGGCAAGCTGAAGAATAGGGTGCAGAAGAACCACGAAAGGGTCAGGCCACAGCAGGAGCATCTGGCCGCGTGACCTAGAGATCCCCAGTGGGTCACGGGATCTAGGTTTCAGAAACAGTGAATGCTGGAAGACAACACCGAAGGAGTCTGCTACTCACGGTCACCATAACAACGCAGAGGCCTCAGGAAGAACTGAGCTTCAGAACTGGAACGGTTCGTATCCCCTACCACTATCTGCGTGACAGGCAGATGGTCCACAAAGGTCAGCAGCCCCTTGTCCGTTCTCCTGTGGGAACAGGATGCAGTGACTCAACCCCGCCGCTCCGCTGTCCTTAGAGTCCTGGAAATCCTGCCCTCCTGTCCCCTCACCACTGTGGCTGGTCAGCATCACAGTTGCAGTGCAGGGCAGGGTCCACACAGCTCCGGTCCAGCCCACAGGCACAGCGCTGGATCCCAGGCTGGGAGCCTCCCCAGTAGAAGTGCTGCTCCTCATTTCGGCCAATCCAAAAGCTGTAGGGGTAGCCTCCTGGGGAAGACGCCAGGCAGCTTCCAGGCCCTGCCCCTCCATCAGCCTCTGGGCTCCTCATCCCCAGGTACCAGCAGGCCTGACCTTGCTTGACTCCTCTGGCAGCCCCCCACCCCACCCCCGGCTCTCCCCTAGCTATGCCTAGCCCTCCCTGCTGCCAGGCTCAACCTGCAGTATTGAGTAGCCGCGAATTGTAGCAGGAAAACTCGATCCACTGCTCACAGTGCTGGGAAGCGTTGGCCAGAGCACTGACTTCCTCCCAGGAGGCATTCCAGTATTGGACAGCCCCCAGAAAGGGCCGCTCCATGCTGGAACCTGTCACTCGAGTTGTCCACAGCCTGTCATGCCGCACGACCGTCCATGCTCGATTCTCTGGAAGAGTGGAGACAGAGCTAAGGCTGGACCTGAGCACTCTTGACCCCCTCCTTCACAACCCTGCTGCCACCTAGAGTCAATAAAAGTGGGCAGCCTTGAGCTGGAGAGATGGCTCAGAGGTTAAGAGCACTGACTGCTCTTTCCAGAGGTCCTGAGTTCAATTCCCAGCAACCACAGGATGGCTCACAACCATCTGTAATGAGATCTGGCGCCCTCTTCTGGTGTGTGGGCATACATGCATGGAAGCAGAATGTTGTACACATAATAAATAAATAAATCTTAAAAAAAAAAAAAGTGGCCAGCCACTTCACTGCAGGCCAGCCTTGGAATGGCCAGAAGTTGAAATTTGTCATAAGGCTATATTACAAAATGTTAGGGGTCCCCCTTCCAACTACAGTTTTATCTTGTCTCCTCCTCCAGCTTCCCTGATTACCCCCCCCCCGCCCCGCATCTTCTGCAATGCTCGGTTGACCCTCCACCCCCACCCATCAAAGCCACCTACCTCGGATATCACAATACACTACAAATGGCTTCAGGGGTCCAC